ACCCCCCCCCCGCCCCCCACCCCCCTTCTTTTCTAGGCTGTAAGGGAGAAAAGAAGAGGGTTTTCACCCTCTCCGTTACTGAAACCATCCAACACGCACCCCAAGGTCGGCGGATCATTCCGTAAAACCCTAAGCCATAAACCCCTAAACCCCTAAACCCCTAAACCCCTAAATCCTAAACCCCTAAACCCTGAACCCTTAAACCCTCAACCTCGGAACCCTGAACTCTACGCCCAAGGCTCCGGGCCACACCGCTGATTGTTAGCACCTGGGCGTGCATGGAACTGTAGTAAGAAGACAGGGCCTGAAGGCTTGTAGAGGTGTTGTGACAGGTGCCTGAACTCCAAATTTCAAACTTCCAAATAGTAGTCTCACTAATCTCGTCCAGGGTTCAAACGAGCCCTGGGCTCAAATCATGCAAGCATGTGTAGGCTTCCATTAACTGCGCCTGAAAAATTCCCAACGCGATATTGATGCTATAGGCTGTTCAGACGCTGACCTCTGGACTATGCATATCATGGGAGTAGTTAAGAACCCCATGTAAAGACCCTGGCCACCACCCTCAAGACGTAATCACCAGCCACGTAGCCATTGTAATGCAGCCCAAATGTTTATGGAACATGTGTTTGAAATATGGCCCGGATAATATGCGAAACAATATGGCTGCAAATATGGCATCTGAAGTTGCCTGAGCTGGATTCCAGACATTTGGAGGCTTCTTCAGTCCTCGGCACATTTATTGTATCATTTTCATATTACTTTCATAATGTTCTCATTTTCTATGCGCCCCACATTTGTATACATGTCACATATATATACAAGCTTTTCCAGGGTATCAAATTTTCCGTATGTTTTCCATGCTTTCGATCTTTTGTGACCCCTCAAAAATGAATCTGGATTCTAGTGGAAAAGATCTGGAAAGTATACGGAAAACATGGGAAATTCTGGGACGATATGGAACCTAAACCCTTTGAAATGGTAGTTTCCCTAAATAGGGGAACCCCACTATAGATCCCAAAATACTATAGCCCTTATTACGGGGACCCCCAAAATGGCACCCCTAATTTGGGGAAACCCCCAAATGTCCTGGCAGGGACAGGATGGCTTGCATGAGAACTGGGTCTAGGGCTCAGGGTTTAAGGGCTTAGGGTTTAAGGGCCTAGGGTTTAAGGGCTTAGGGTTTAAGGGCTTAGGGTTTAGGGTCTACGGTTTAGGGTTGAACTGCACCTGGCGACTTCTGTTTTACAGGGCACTGGCAAAGTCATAATCCCTTCCTGTCATACTAAACCCTCCACCCATCTCCTAGACATATTCCCGCACCTTGTAACGGAAGAGTCTTACATTGGGCGGTCATGATTAGGGCGGGCGAGGGGGGTTGGCCACTATTGGCATAATGCTTCAACAGAGAAAGTTTTGGGCTATGATGGCTGATTACACAGCTTTACCACGGCTTCTACCATGCGTGGAGGGGTATCACCCATAACCCTGAAACTGTATACCCCAACCCCTAAACCAAAAAACACTAAACCCTGAGCACTTAATAGCAACAAAATTTATGAACAATTTTAGTGGTACTCAATGTAATAACCACGGTACCCGGAATCCTCGGGCTCAAGCCTCAACCTCAGGCCTAAGCCCCCAAAACCCTAGTTTGGGGTTTAGGGTGTAGGGTATAGGGTTTAGGGTTTGGGGTACCCTGAGTCGATGGAGACCCTCGTCCTTTCAAGTGTCCAACCCCGAAGCCCCAGCCATAAAGTTTAAGACCTAAACTCCTCAGACTCAAGCCCCTAGTTATACTGGTCAGAACAGTCATCATAGTGCCATCAATAACAACGGTAATAATCGTGAGATTCGCAATAACGAAGCCAAGCTGGAAGCAGCAAGCAGTGCGTCCAGGTAATCACGTCAGCTATCTGGCGACATGGCTGAAGTGACTCTTTAACTTTTTGTATGTAGCGTGGAGAGAGGCGTGTGGGGATTCGAAGTTTCGGGTCCCAGGTTCAAGGTGAGTTTTCGGGGTTTAGGTTCCGTCTGAGGGGTTCAGGGGGTGATGCCCCCCTTCGACAACGCCAAACCCATGAACAATTATCATTCCGTACGACGTAGTTCTCCTTGCTTCCAACAAATACCACCGCGCATGCAGATAGTTTGGCTCGTAATGTTAACTTCCCAATAAAGAAGCCCCGCCCCGATTTTGTTTTGCATTTTTGGTATGCGGAAAGGAGGGGGTCTGGTCCTAATTATGAACCAGGGGGTTGGGGTAGGACTAGGTAGTGCAGCTCGTAGTACTAGTAGAAGGGAAATATATTAAGATCGGGATATTTTTCGGCGGACAATATTATCATCGGCTCCCCCCTATTGTTGCCGATGGACTGTGCTTACATCTTTTAGGGCTCCAAACTTGTTAGAAAGCAAACTTTATCTTCTGGGATTTTTCTGGCCCGGCAAGCAAGTACTATTGCCACCCCGTATCAAAGGTAGGTTAACATTAGTCCCGAATTAAACCCTAAACCCTAAACCGTATGCTGCAGAATCGAAGCATTGTTGCAGCCTTCTGGGTGTTTCAGCCCCTGTGCTGCTCGTAAGTAATTAGGGTTGAGGGTGATATGGAGGAGTATACCAAGGTGTTGTTCTGTAGGACCCCGATATGGTACAAGTTCTTAAAACAGACCTCACAACAACGGCACAAGCCTCCGTTATTCTTCTTTTGCAAGGCGATTACAGCTAGGCTGCACAAGTGTTTCTCAACTGCCTTTCTTCCGTCATGAGCACCCTACACTGGCCATCCAGAAGAACGAGTGGAATCTGAGGGCCCCTTGTTCAAAGCCCTGCGCAGAACTACATGTGGTTTAGCAACCCCTACATTTCTTGATGTGGTCCTGGTGTCTATGGACCTAGAGGAGAACTGCCACAAGGCTTCACCCAAAAAAACTGGACATTCCATGATCGTGTTCGCGCAGCCTTAAACGGAAATAGTATGGGACAGGACAGCCACAGGATATGCTTAAACATATGATGTTGCTTCGACTCTGGATTCGCGAATCCCCCGAGGACACAGTAGTGCTGCCGCTCATTTTGGAGGCACGTGGGTATGGGGCTCCTGTCTGGAGGTCACTGTTGCCAGCTTTGCCCAGATCCCTTATATGATGATTTTTGATGGTTTCAGTGGGTGTATATTGAGTTAGGTTTTTTTGGGCGGAAAATTGGTGACTGTACATCTGGGGTGTTGGTTTTGTGAGACTAGAAATTCAATCCTCCACCTCACACCACTACAAGAATATCCAGGAATGTCTTGCATCAATTCATCATAAGACCCTGGAAAGAAAACTCGTGGCTGGCCCAGGGTATACCGGAGAAGCCCTAAACCCTAAACCGCAAGGCCAGCTGCTTTGTCTGGAAGTTTTTGGAGTCCTCTGGTTTAGACACAGGATTGTGTGCTGCATGAGCCTCGTGCGAGTAGGGTGTGCGCAGAGTTTCGGGGGCCGCGTGGGCCGCACTCCATCTTAGATCATATATAGGAGATGTAGGGGGTTATATATGGAAATCTTATTGAAGACGCAGAATCAAATGGAAAACATGCAAAATGAAATGGAAGGTGGGTTTGTATAGATGGTCCAGGATAATTAGTCGATTCCATGTTTTTCCATTATGGCCACACGGCAAACAGGTTCGTTGAGAGAAATCCCCAGCTCAACACCATGCCCTGAATGTGAGCCTTGGCTTTTTGGGGGGTTAGTAGGGAAGAAGGGAAAATATGTGTACATGTATATTTATAGATGTATGTTTCTAAATGGGGTTCAGCGTGTAGGGTAGGGAATAAGGAAATATATCTTACATAGGGAGTACATAGGGCTTGATTTCCCTTATTCCCTACTAACCATAACCACGCGTAAGCTTACTCATGCAACCCGAAAAAACACATGTTGAGCAAGAAGCCATATCCCCAACCTGTTCTGGCTTAAACTTAATTGCCTAAACTCGAAGTACAAAATGAGCCTTCAAACCTCAAACCCCAGTCCATTATTTCTGCCCAAAACCCTGGACCGCCTTACGACCCTGAACCGGCTAACCTTTTACCATCAATGATAGCAGTAAAGCATTAAACCCTCTCACCTCTTTGTACAAAGTCCTCCTGGAATTTGATTGGCAGAACCAGGTTGTAAGCAGGTTCTTCCCGATAGTCTTTCATCATAACCAATACTTGTAGATAACATTAGCATTTCACAACATAGCTACCCGGCCCACTCAAACTTTGAATCCTTCTCTCAACACCCTGCCCTTGATCGGAAGATCCTTTCATCTCGCTTGGAGGTGGAAAAGAAGAGCCCGACAAAATACAGTCCAAAACATAAACCCTAAACCCTAGACGCTAAAGGTAAGCCCTACAAATGGAGGTGCCAAAGATCATCGCCATGGCGGAAGTCGCCTCGTGGCCGCTCTTTGGTCAGCTGTGCCAGGCACCGGGGGTTAGGATTTTGGCTTCGGGGTGGATCCTACGGAACCCAAATACTACGAGGGTGCTACGAACTACTTAAATTTGAGGTCATAGTGATAAAAAGAGGTGTTCTGCACTGTCCTAGTAGGGTTAGGCTTGAGAACTTCCCCTCTGCTGTCATGAGCACTGAAGTCAAGATACCTGCAAACAAGACAAGTGGAGACCGGGTGGTTCGGAGCAGGTGAACCGCTAAGACACTAAGCCATGAGACTTTCCCGCAGGGAAATTAGCTAAACCAGTGAGAGCCGCTTGGCAGCTTGACCTTCAAAGCGCTCAACCGTTAGACCGCTACACCACTAAAAGTCAACCTTCCCACCACATGAAGCCAAGACCATTGGCTCATTGTTGATTGCCTTTGTCATTTATTTTCATTATTGGGCTTACGCTTTCACAAGTTTATGGTCTACTAGCTGGTTGGTCTAGAGTTTTAGAGGCTTACGAGTTTATTGGTTGAATAGTCTGGGCGGTTTCTGGGCGGTTTCCATGCAGGTAAAATTTGCCGCTTTAATCGTTGCAGCTTGCTTGCCCTGAACACGCGGTTAGGATTTCGGGTTTAGGATGTATTGCAATTCATGAAACAGGACACTTGTTTCGAAGCAAATGTCCAGGGTTTCCTTGCTTGGAGGCTGGGCTGTAGCTGTGCGCCTTTTTGAAGTGCCCCAAAAGTAATTCGACTTGCTATCTATAGATCCCAATAGGTCAAGTTAATCCAAACCCCAAACCTTAAACCCTCTAAAGTTCCAATATGTCAGCTTAATATCTATGTACACACGTGCTTTTCGTGCAAGGTACAACTGTCGGCGAACGTTAAGGCGGCCCCTAAACCCCAAACCGTGAATCTTGAAACCCAACCCCAAAAACCCTAAGGCTCAAACGCCAAAACTCCAGACCCTAAATTGAAGTGTGATCTGCATATACCCCTCAGTATTGTACCTATTCAACTCCTACATAGGGTCTAGGGTTTAGGGTTTAAAACCAGGAGCTCGAGATGATTTGGGTCGACAGATCCTCGGCCGAGTCGCGCCAGGCAGCGAAGGCCGGATCTTGGGAGTGTTTTCGGGATGTTTGGGGCCCCTTTAAGGAGGCTTATACAGGTTATGACATAGGGTATATAGGGTTAAGGCCACATGACCCCAATCATGGAGAATAAAGTTGCTGGAAAGCAACATGGAGATGACATGGAAACAGGGTTTATATGAGGGGGTTGGTTACCGGGTTTTTTAACTATAGGATATATAGAACCCAGAACCCATTATTCAGGTAACTGGAGCCCGAGGGATAATTGCGAGAAATCCAGAGCCTCAACGTTGGCAAGCTTTTAGCCCCTTACTTAGAACCTCCATATACCCTTTATATACCTACCATTAGGGACCATCTACCCTTATTTAAGGGTACAAGGAGGGCCTGGTATAGAGTTTTTTGTGGGGGTGTAGTGATTTAATGGTTTACGCGTTGGGCTTTTTGGTTAAGGCTCGTTCATCGATGCAATTCTAAACGAGCCTATATGTTGGTGGGAGCCTGCTGTCACTACCTGCTGCAGGTTATGATAGGAGCATGAGGTATAATGCTTCCTCCAAAACCCTAAACCCTAATCAGGAAACCCACCCTAGGAAATGCGGATTTCAGCATATGCAAGCCTTGGCTTGCGCGCAGTACGACGCGACTTACCCAGAAAGTCCAACATCCCTTAGTTAGGGAATAGGGTTGAGGGACTTGGGGTTTAGGATATAGGGTTCACGGCTTATGGTTTTGGTTTAGGGTGTAGGGTTTTGAAGGAAGGGTTTAGGTTTAAGGATACCCTAAATGATATTAGGTTTCCGAATATGATTTAAGGTATACTCTCGAGTTGAGGGATACTGGGCCTAAACCTTAATCCCTGAGCCTTATATTCCCTGACTAAGGGACATGTAACTTCGAGGGGATTCGTGCCAATCAGCAGGTAGAGGCTTAGGCGCGTAGAATGCACTTTCTATGGGTTACCCCCTAAACCCTTAACCCTAGATTCTAGTTTACATTTTCTTTTCCATTATCCCCATGCTTGTTCCCAAAATTGGACCCCTTTTAGGTGTAGAGTATTTACAGCACATAACTTTTCGGGGTACCAAAATGGGACCCTAATTCTGGGAACTACCTGCATAGCCCTAAACCCAAAGCACTAAACCCCCAAGTGTTATAGGAAACCCCTTAGTGGGATACGGATGAGGACACCCTTCTAAACCCTAAACCCTAAACCTTGGGTACTGCCCCCCCCAGTAACAGTTGGATAATAAATATAATATGATTAGATATAGCCCTTAATAGGACCCCTAATATAGACTGTTACTGGCTGGGGGGCAGTACCCAACCTAAACCCTAAACCCCTAAACCCCTAAACCCTAAACCCTAAACCCCTAAACCCTTGCAAGGAGGCCATTGCCAGCCATGCTGCGGAATGGAAGCGAGGAGACCGGTCTTTGCCAGCAGCTCAGAGAGCCCGACTGACTGAGAAAGTGTCTGATTATAGGGTTTAGGGTTTGGGGTTTATAGGGTTTAGGGTTTAGGGTTTATAGGGTTTAGGGTTTAGGGTTTATGGTTTAGGGTTTAGGTTGGGTCTATATGGGTGGTTGTCAAAATAATGGTCCCTTTTTGGGTACCCTAAATACTAGGTGCCTTATTTTAATATAGGGATCCAAAAAGGGACCATAATTTTGACAACCACCCATATCGGGGTTATCGAGGCTTGTCGGGCCACCTTCTCAACATGGTCACGTTCCAGGGTCTAGGGTGAGAGTGTGCAGTGATTTTCTGGGGTGCTCGTGCAGAGAATCGCCCAGTTGCTTAGTATGTTTGGGGTGCGTATTCCTCATTCCTTTCAGGGCCCTCACCCTCCCCCAAACTAATGGATAGTAGTCGATTTAGGGTTCCTTTTCAGATTCCATATTAGTTGGGGGGAGGGTATTTGCAAAAGCACGAAAAGCGCCCTTAACATTCCCCAGTCGTTTCGTCAACGCTGGCATTAAAACAGCCAGGGCCTAGGCCCGGATGCTATTGGATACGATAAATCTTGCCTGACCTGAAGTACCTTATACCCGGGGAGTTATGGTGGTTGAGTATACGAACGTCATACAGGATGTTCAAGATCAGCAGTTGTGCTTTCGAATTTCAACGGCGCGACACTCATCTCCATGACGTAGACCATGCAGTTTGTAAATCCCGCATCATGTACCTTAAATAGCCCGAAAACCTGTTACTACAACCTTTGCTTTCAGTTCTCCATGGCATACCACGTACCGTTTGGAGGTTTAAGGAAATCATACTTCAATAATGACTGCATTCCCGTCAGAACATGGCAAAAGTTCTGAACCCAATTATAGCTGGGTTTGAATTAGCCTGAACCCTGCAGTTCCCTACACATAAGCCCTAGAACCCCTGGAATTACAAGGGGGCCTTTAGGGGTTATTACTGCTCTGAAAGTCCGACTCTGAACCCTAACCCTCATATATATATATATGTATATGTACATGCACATATGCATATACATTAGGTGGACCCCCCACCCAAGAATAGTGTACAAGGGATAAACGTGATTATATTAGGGTCCTCGTATATTCCTATTCTATCACGCCACTATTGCAGGGTGGGGGGTCCACCTAGTATATACATGTAGAGAGCTGAAGCTACTTGGAGGGTCAAGGGTACTTAGTAAGTACATTTATAGGCCCTACAAGCCACATAACAACTCCAGTTATCCCCAGTCTTGACCTACTTTCTAAGTTCCCCAGACCCTTCAAGTACCATTCCCCCCCCCCCCTCCACCCTAGACCCGACATCATAAGCCTTAAGCCCTAAGTCCCCATAACCCTCCCCAATCCCTAGACCCTAAACCCTAAGCCCAAAGAATCATTCACGAAGGTTGATCTGGCCTGAGGGCACCACGTCGAATGGCCAGGGCATCAAGGACTTCAAGCAAGGTGATCTGTCTGATCCACGAAGACAGGGCTTAGGGTTTAGGAGTTTAAGGTTTATAGGGTGAAGCCTCAAACCCTGAACCCCTAAACCCCTGATGCTCTTAGGGTTTCGGGCTTATAGGGTTTAGGGTTTAGGGTTTAGGGTATGGGGTTTGGGGTTTAGAAGGAGGATCCTAGGTCGGGAGTAGGGTGGCCCATTGGATCCACAAAAGCAAGGGTGGGGATCCCAGGTAGGGAAGAGTCAAGTCAAAGTATAGCCGAGAAAGATCCTGTAGTCTCCTATACACGTGGCTTGGGATTCAGGACCCTAAGCCCTAAACCCTAGACACCCTAGTTCGGGGTTTCAGGTTTGGAGTTGGACTGTTGTTAAAGCTCCTGGTTCGTAGTAAGCCTAGCTAGGTCTGACCAACAAAGACCAAGGCTTCTGAAAGTTGAGGCTTGCTTGGTTAAGGGTTTCGGGTTGCAAGTGCAGCATCCTGTTTTGGGGGAGATATGCGGGGTTGAAGTTAAGGGTCTGGGATACAGGGTTCCTTCCCGCACTCTTACTTGAAGATACTACTGGATCATCAAGTCTGATCCAAAATGTGGTGCAAGAACTTCCTTGCGTATGAGCTGCATCCATGAAATCTCCAGCCCAATGCAGGCGCCAAAGATAGAAACAGCAGATTTGAACTGCACTATGAACCTTGAAATGATGCCGGTAACGTAAGGTACCCCCCCCTTTCAGGACCCTAAATCCTAAACCCTAAATCCTCAACCCTAAACCCTACATAAACCCTAATCCCCTATATAACCCCCAATCTTCCGACCATCAGTTGGAGGTTAGTCTACGGTGATCATAATGTACGAGTTTTGGGAGATAAGTTTTGATTCATCGGGTTTTCTCAAACTTAGGGGTCCCTTTTGTGTGTCCTTATAGTTAGGATTCTGGTATTTTGGGGTCTATATTGGAGTGCCCTTTTTTGGGACAACTACCACATATTCCATGGATCTTTGGGCTTCGAGTAAGTCCTACTGAGCATCCTGTTATGTTATTCTTGCATGTTTGATGCAAAGCTTAGGCC